TGTACTTGATGGCCTCATGCTGCCCTTCCTACAGCCGCCAGCTATGCAAACGTCCTGCTCCGACTCTGAGAGCCCAGCAAGGCCTCCCATCCCTCACCGTTTCTTGCAGATTGTCAGTGAATACGGCAAAGACCACATCCTGACAGACATACTGAAAGCCATGGACATCTTCATAGAGCTCGTCACCAACCCTGATGGGTTTGCTTTTACCCACAGCATGGTGAGGGCCCCTGGGGAGCGTTGGGGGGAGGGGCCAGCTCTAGGGGGATGGAGGAAAGGTCACTGCAGCCTTGGGGAACTGGCCCCTCCTGGGGCTCCTTGCAGAGAGCCTCACTGTGGGCAGGAGCGCTGCTCAGGTACTGCGGCTGGAGCTTCTTGCCCTCTGACCTCCCTCCTGCTGCCCAGGGAAGGCCACTATTGGCAGCCTGTGCTCAGGTCTCTCCCCAAACCCTGGCATCTGAGCTGCAGCCTCGGCCCAGCCCCACGCCGGCCCATTATGTCCTGGAAGATCCTTTTCTTTGCTCCTCCCTGCTGCTCCCTGCCCCCCTTCATCGGCCAGGATGTTGGAGGCTTGTCTGGGGGAAGGGGCTCAGTGAATGAGGTTACCTGACCTGGGATTTCTCAGAACCGCTTGTGGCGGAAGAACAAGTCCACCAGACCTGGAGTCTTCTGCGTTGGCGTGGATCTCAACAGGAACTGGAAGTCAGGCTTTGGAGGTACGGCCGTCTGCTGGTCCTGGGGGCAGGGCTGGGGAAGGAGTTGTTGGTCCTTGGCAGATTCTCCCACACAGGCAGACCACGTTGGCTCATAACTTGGGAAGCACGGGATAATGTTGTTAGCTAATACGTGTGAGTCATGGCCAAGGACAGACAAGTGCGTACCTAGGACTGGCAGTGGGATATGGGGAGTGGCTGCACATGTGTATTAAACGCACACATTTGCCAAGGCTTCATGGTGGTATCATTTAAGGGAGCCCCCAGCTCCTGAAATGGGAACTAACAGCAAGGGTCAAATCCTAAATATGACAGAAAGGCTTAAGTAGGTACAAGGTAGTCTTGCTGATTGTTCAAAATCCAGAGTTTATGGTGCCCCCAAAATGTTCCTAGCCCTTCCCTGAAAGAAGCACAACACTAGAAAGTGCCTCTGAAGTCATTCCCTGAGAACTGTGACCTGAAATTTGTCCTTTGGAGAGGTCAGAGCAATTGTTCAAATATAGAATGAGCCAATTTCTTATCATCAAGGCTGACTTGAGTCTGGTTTTTATTTTTGATCCATTGCTTTGTAACCCTGGGCTGGCGGGCTGGTGCATACCCGCAGGGCTGCGTGATCCCAGTGAGGGGTGGGCAGCTTTCTCCTGAGTTCCTCGGTCTTCTTCCCTGATTGTCTTCCTGACTGTGCCAGGGGCACAGGGACTAGATGGGGAAACTGAGGCCTCCAGAAAGCCCAGAAACAGGGACATAGACCCCAGGAATGCAGCAATTCGGAGGGTAGGCTGCTGGGTCTAGACAGGACAGAGTCTCCAGAACAGACAGCCCTCAGCTCCCAGATGTGGCATCTACCCCGCACTGGGGAATTGGGGTTTAGACCCACAGAAGACAGTGCCATTGCTGTTGGAAAGCAGATCCACAGGCTGGTGGCCAAACCAATGAGAGAACATTCTAGATCTGGATGCCCATCACTTTGGAAATCTGGCTTTTTGGAGTCGGTTCTCATTGAAAAATAAGGATGGCTTTGAAACATTGGGAGTGGGGCCCCCAGCCCACAGCGTGGGGGTTGCCTGAGGGTCTGGGCTCCGTGTGTACCCGCTTGTGTAAGGGAACTCAACCGTGTAAAATTAGGCGCTTCCATGTCCAAATGACCAAGTCACGCCCCGGTGGGCATCCATGTGGCCCCTCAGAACTGACTGGGTGAGTGCCCTTGAACCCCAAGACAGACCAGCTAATACAAAGATAAATTACCTCTTAAAGAAAATACCTTGTGGGTTTCTTCACAGGGAAAAAAAAATCTGTATATACACAGTGTAAAAAACAATTATGGAAAAAAAAGCCCAGGGGGGCAAAAAGCTCCCATAATCCCACTACCCAAAGATTACTGCTTTTAATAATTTACCATGTCCTTCCAGAGATTTCCCCTTAGTGCAAATTACACTTTTAGAGGAGGAAAAATAAATAGCTAATGAATCCATTAGCAGGTACTTGTGAAACGGGCAGGCTCAGAGGACCTTGACTGTGAACATCAGAGAGGCAGGCAGCTAATTCCCACTTGGTCAGGGGAAGATTAGTTTATTCTGCTTAGCTCAAACCAGAACTAATGGCCTGAAGTGTTTCTCCATATTTGGGCAAAGCCACCTGGTCGTTGGCAGGGGAACCGCTCTCCCTGCGTGGGCTGCAAAAGCAGACAAAGCTTTCAGCCTCCGCTCTGCTCATCTGTTGCTATTTGTCATTCATCAAGTGGAGCAGGTGCAGAGCTCCCGGCAGACACAACAAGCCGGGCCACTGCTAGCTGGGCCAACTGCAGCCTGGGAGCTGCTCCTCACCCCTTGCTCTCTGTAGGCACATCCCTCCTAACTAGGGTCCCCATCCCAGGCGAGGATCCACAAACCAAGAGGGGATGCACTCCCCAGTGACAGAATTGCCCCTGGCCAGCAATAGTGTGTGTCTGGGTTGGTGACTCAGGCAGGAAGATTTTGTTTATGGTTTTATTATTGTCTTAATTTAATTGCTGTGTGATGAGTAATCTGTACACCATTCCTCCCACCCGTGCCCACCCTCACCTGAGCGCTTAGGTTTACTGCATTATTAGAGCATCATCTGAATGGGTCCATGGACTAGCTCGTTGCACCGGGACCCAGCAGGGCTTAGGGGGTGCTGAGGCCCTGAGGAGGCTTCAGGAGTTGGGGTGATCCCTGTCCTCTGGAGCAGCCTTGTGTGCAGCTGTTTGGGGAAGGAGGTGGGAGAGGAGGAGCTGGGAAATGTAGGGGAATACGTGGGTATTTGGTGAGCATTAAGTGTCTCTGCCACGTCGGGGGACTCCAATGCTCTGGGTGGTGTTATTTTACTTCCAGGAAATGGCTCTAACGACAATCCCTGCTCAGAGACTTACCGTGGGCCCTCCCCTCAGTCGGAGCCAGAAGTGGCCGCCATTGTGGACTTCATCTCAACCCATGGGAACTTCAAGGCTCTGATCTCCATCCACAGCTACTCTCAGATGCTCATGTACCCTTACGGGCGCTCGCTGGAGCCTGTTCTAAACCAGATAGAGCTGGTGAGATTGGCTGCTTAGGGCTTGGGGAGGAGGAGGCCCCTCCATAGGAAAATCCATATCCAGCACACCCCCGGAGGGTTCAGGCTCTCATTCTGAAAACAAGGGTCTGGACCAATAGACTCCATGGTAGAGAAGAGGGGGAGCTTGTTCTCATGTGTGATCAAGTTCAAAGCCAGAGGTGCTGCGCTCCCTTCTCACAGGAGCCAACTGCACATGCAGCTTCCGGGACCCCCACCCAAGTCTATGCTTCTTGCCAGCTGCTGAGGGTGTGGGGTTGCGGGTGGGAGCCACCACGAGCTCTGGCCTCTCACCCTGTGGATGTGACCTTGCAGTACAGTCTTGCCAAGGATGCAGTGAAGGCCCTGTATGAGGTCCACGGGATCAAGTACATTTTTGGCAGCATCAGCACCACCCTCTGTGAGTGAGCTTCCCCTGGCCACTGCTTCAGACATCACTTTCACCTGGGGGCGGGCAGGTGCAGGCTCTGAGCTGGCAGGCCTGGCCATCCACGGGTCTGGCAGGGCTGGGCCAGAGCTACTTCCCACATCTGGGCGGAAGGGTGGACCAAGGCAGCTGTTTCTTTGCAGCATTAACGCACAGCTCCCAATGCCTGGCTTACTGCAAAATTCCTTGAGGGTGAAGATCCTACGTCGGGTGGCCTCCAGCAGCTTTCTTTTTGTAGGGGCAGAGAAGGAGCTGGGTGGGCAGTGGGTGGCCCAGGTGGAGGCCTGGGCTAGGAAGCTTGGTGTGGTCTGGGGTGTGCAGAGGTTTGGCTTCTAGAGCCTACTTTCCATTCAGGATGCCTCTATACCTTGTGGCCTCACCCTCTTCCTTTGGGAGCACTTTTTGGCCCTGTTGTTTCTAGATGTGGCCAGTGGGATCACCGTTGACTGGGCCTACGACAATGGTATCAAGTATGCCTTCAGCTTTGAGCTCCGGGACACCGGCCGCTATGGCTTCCTACTGCCAGCCACGCAGATCATCCCCACGGCCCAGGAGACGTGGATGGCGATTCGGACCATCATGGAACACGTCCTGAATCACCCCTATTAGCAATAGTACTGACGGCAGAGCAGGAGGGGTTCGTTCTCCTCCCCAAGGCCTGGGGCTCCTCCTAAAACCCAAGTTATGTGTCCCCCTCCCTGAGCCTTTGCCTGGACCCCTTAGAAAATAAACATGAGTTTGAATAGGCTTCTCTACCTTTAGTGTTGGTTATTACTTCTTTGGCCTCAGCTTTGAGGAAGGGACAGAGGGCTTCTCATCCCCCAGGGACAGCTTGAAACGCCTGGGGAATCCCCTTCACTGCCTGTGCTACCTTCGAGAAAAAGAGGGGGCCAACAGCTGCACCCGTCCTCCTCTTGCAGTGCTCTCAGGGCCTGGAACAGAGAACTACCTCCGGGAGCTACTAAGATATGCATTATCCCAGTGGTATTCACCTTTTAAGGTGACCCTGCAGGGAACAATGTTTGATGGAATGGAGAGGTGGCATTTTGGGATCCTTTAGGGACAAGTGGGTTCAAGCAGGCAGCCTCCACCTCTGCCTGCTTCGTTTCCCACGCTGGGGAGTTAGTAGGGGCACATTATAGCAGTCCCCACATGAACAAATCATAGGTTCGTGCCCTCAAAAGCTCCCTTGGTCTTGGGAGCAGAGAGTCACAGCCAGTCAGAGCCAGCACAGCAAAGCACTGCATACCTAGGGAGAAGAACCCCTCCTCCTCCTCACTGTAACGATCACGGTTGTCATTTATTGAGCAGTTACAGGCCAGGCCATGCCCAGTCAGAGCCAGCACAGCAAAGCACTGCATACCTAGGGAGAAGAACCCCTCCTCCTCCTCCTCACTGTAACGATCACGGTTGTCATTTATTGAGCAGTTACAGGCCAGGCCATGTGCTAGGTGGGTACTTTTTCTAAGAGAGTTAAACAAACGCTATTTGGGGATATGAATGAGGTGACTTCCCCCATCTCCAGGCTTCCTTGTACCTTTTGCCTTCTCCCACCATTGGGAAGCAGGGAGAGTGGCTCTGTCTGCTCTGCCCTTGGGCGAGGCAGATGACCCTTAGGAGAAAGACGTCCACTGAAGAGCCAAATGGGTTTGTGTAAGTCTGAGGCAGAAACAGTAGTCTTGAGAGCAAGACTTTCATTTGCAAGAACTGAGCTCTGTGTATGTGTGTGCATGTGTGTGTGTGTCTAAGAAAAGGATTGTGGGTGCCCCTGGCTCATCTCCTGGAGGACACAGAGACAGGGAAGAAAGTAGAGTGAAGTAAGAACAGGTCCCCCTTTCCATCCAATCTGCAAAAAGAGACAACAGTTGGGCCAGTTGGTAGGAGGAGGGGATGGGAGATAATCAAAACCCCAGGTGAGACCCATGTCCAATATGGTGCCTAACCAGCAAATGAATAAGTGAGCGAGGAAGGGGATGAGACAGATGATCAGAGGCAGCTGTGTGGGCTGTGTACCCCTCAGCGGTGCAGCTGTTGAGAGCTCTGAGCAAAGAAACAAGAAGGTTGGCAGGTGAGGAGGCCTAGGGTAGAGGCAAGAAGGCTAAGCCCAGAGGCCATGCAGCCCGCAGCCATGGCGGCATGATGGGCATTGCTGGGCATGCAGCTGGCCATGTGGAAATGCTGAGGACATCAGGTAACTTTCCAGGGAAAGAGCCAGCAACAGAGAAGGAGAGAATCCTGATTCTGGTTCAAGTTTCCCACAAGCGGAGTTTTTCTAAGCTGGGAATGGTCTGCGTGAGCTAGAATTTCCAACCTGAAGTTTTCTGCCATTAGTGGAAATACAAAGTCAAGTGCTAACTTAATATAAGCTACAGATAAATAAAGCAAGTAATACCTTTGCACAAGGGAGTCTGTGATTATAACTTTAATGCCCTCTACACAAATATTTTTATTCCATCCTCATTGGGAGGGTATCACTGCTATTAATAAGCTCATTTTTCAGATAGGGAAAGCAAGATTGGAGAGGTTTTAAAGGCCATACAAGGCCACAGACAGAAAGTTGTTGAGAAAGATTTGAACTTTTGTTTGTGTAATTCCAGAGCCACTATGTCACCATTTGTCCGAGTGTGTCATGTGGCTCACCTGCAGCAGAATCCATAGGGACTTGTTTAACCTGAAGGTATTTGGGTTCCATTCCCAGACCAAAACAGAATCTCTGGGGGTGGACCCCTCAAGTCTGCATTTTTTCCATCTGCCCAGGGAGCTCTGAGGTACCTTAAGAGACTGAGAACCACTGATCTCTGCTCTCCTGCCTTCCAGAAAGAATGCATTTGAGTCTTCCGGGGGGTGGATTTGAACTTTGGGTCTCCCACCCTTTGTCATTGTCCATGAGGGCTAAAGGTAGTCACAATAGTGTGAGGCCAGTCATCATTCTCCAAAATATTTTGGAGGGGTTGCCTTGGCCCATCCTAAAGCAGCGGTGTCTGCAGACCATGGGCAGCAGCATCACTTGGGAGCCTGTTGGAAATGCAAATTCTCAGGCCACCCCAACCTACTGAATCAGAGTCTGTGGAGGTGAGACCCAGGTGATTCTGATGCCAAACTGGAGAAACACTGGCCTTGAGGCAAGAGTATTTGGACTCTGGTGAGCTTCCCAGTGGTGGCAAAAATTATAAACCCTTTTCTAGCATTTACAATGTGCCAGGCACAGTTCCAAGTGTGTTAGGGGATTCAACACACTGTCTCCTCACAGCTCTAAGAGGCAGGATTATTACTGTCGTTGTTGTCAGATGAGGAAGCCCAGGCTCAGATGGGATGGTAGCTAATGGGCACACAGTGACTAAGTGGCAGGGCTGGGACTGGCCTTCAGGCTGATATTCCATCATCTGCCTTCAGAACCTAGACCTGACTCATGCCCAAGATCCCTCAGGACCAGGGATGAGGAATTTGTTCTCACAGTTGAGACAGGTTAGGGAGGGAACTCAGCCCCTCACCCCTGTTTTCCAAGAACCCAGCACACCCAGATAAGCTATTTTCAAAGAATTCAGAACACCCAGATAAGATATTTTCAGAAACTAAGATAAACAACTTTTTATTTTTTAAACACAAACTTCCTCCAGGCAGCTAGCCCAACTCCTCCATGTACACAAAGCTTCAAGGTGACTGCTACAATGACCCTCCTGGGGTGGTGGTAGTGAGCAGTACCACCATCTTGGACCTACTGAGCAGGCACAAGGTCTAAAGCCCTGACTGAGCATGCACTCATGCCCCAACCAGGAAAAACAGAATGGACCACCTCTACAGGCAAAGAACGATGATGCTGCCTGCACCCCTTGCCCTGTGAAGGACCTGAACAGCTCTCCTCAGGGAGCTAGCTTCCCTGTAGCTATCTCCCTTATGCATAAGCTCTCTTCTCTTTAAATAAAGGGTTGCTGCTTTACTGCTGGGTGCATCGTTCATTTCTATGACTTCGAGACCCAAGAACCTGGTCTGGTAACAGAGTCAGGTTGGCAAGATCTCTGTGCAGCCAACAGGCCCACAAAAGTTGAGGCTGAAACAGTTTTCCAGATAGAGGTCTTCTTAAAAGGCATCATTCTTCTTAAAATCCTTCAGTGACTTAAAACAAAACCCTGCCCAAGACATGGCATGACCCCACCCAAGGCACAGCAGACCAGCCCTACCTACCTCTTCCACCATATTTCGATACCTCTTGCCTCCTCACTCACCAGCTCCAACCTTTCCTGCTTCCTTTCAGTTCTCCAGCACCAAAGCTCCTTCTCAGCTAGAGGCCTTTGCATGTGCTGCCCTTTCTTGTCTGGAACATTCTTTCTTCTCACTCTTTCCCTTCAATATCATTTCTTCACTAGTCCTAGGACCACCTCCTGGAAGTAGTCTTCTATTATTCTCTTTTCTAAAGCCTCATTTATTTCCTTCAGATCATTGATAATTAGTCATTAATTGACTTCTCTGTACTTGCTGTTTGTCTCCTCCACTGGTCTATGAGCCCTGTGAGGGCAGGGGCAGGGCTGGGCTGCTCATTCTCACTTGTTTCTGGCAGTGCCAGGCACACAGAAGGTACTCAGTATTTGTTGAAGGGCTGTTTTTCCTCCTCAGCCTAGTACAAATTAGGACTACGTTTTACTGTATGTGACAGAAACCCATCTTACTATCGCTTAACCAGACAGGGGTTTTATTTTTGTCATGTAACAAGAAATTATCTGAGGTGGGCAGTACAGGGCTGGATCACTAGGGGACTGGGGGACCCAGACCCTTCTGACCGATTCTGTTTTGCCATTCTGCTATATTTTGACCTCTAGTTGCAAATGGCTGCTCTACCCCCATCATATGACTAAATTCCAGGCAGGAAGAGCAAGGGACAAAAATGTGAGCTTGCTGTGTTGGCTGGTCCGTGGACTTAAACTTAAAACGTCTTCTTGGTTGGAACTGTGTCATGCAGCCATGCCCAGCTGCAAGTGAGGCTGGAAAATTGCTCTGTGGCTGGGACCGTTGCTGCCCTGAATAAAACTGAAGTTTTGTTGATAGGGAGGAAGGGAAGAATGGATATTTGGAAGGAAGTCAGCAGGGTCTGTGGCAGCTTCTCTGAGTGGCAGGGAGGAACTGAAGGGGCCTCAGGACCAATTTCTCACTCTAGCTTATCAAGGAACTGACTTAATCATAAAGCCATAGAACTTTCCAGATGTTCTAATCCAACCCCCCTCGCGTTGCAGTTATAAAGACTGGGGCTGTGGGTCATGAGTCTTGCATGTGAACCTAACAGCTGAGAGAGGAGTAAGGCCAGGGCTCTGCTCCGGTCATGGCAGGATGCTGCTCCCCCGCAGGACCGAGGGGCCACCCAGGTGTCCTCAGTGAGCCTGCGGAGATGATGGCTGGGGGTTTACACTGCTCTAATAAAAGCTGAAGACTTGGACATACATGTTTTAGAGATACTGCAGAAGAATCTCTTTTTCATAAAACTGAACTCCCCCTCCCATTTCCTTAGGTATAGAGTGCTAAACAAGAGCTCAGTTTTTCTACATTCTGCTTGGTGGGGTTTTTTTTCCTCCTTTTCCAACAAACTGCTCTTTTTAGGTATGTTTTTTTCATCCTTTTCACCAGTAAAATTTATGAGCATTTATTTAAAAGAAAAAAAACATTGGAAAAACCGAAGGGAGAAAGAGCGGTTATACATATGGAAAGATATAAAGAACCACAGTGAAGGTGCTGCGGTTATTGCTTTCTTAAAAAAACAAACCAGGCAGGCGCTGTGGAATGTGAGAGGCCTGTGTGAGGCGTTTAAAAGAAAAAAAACATTGGAAAAACCGAAGGGAGAAAGAGCGGTTATACATATGGAAAGCTATAAAGAACCACAGTGAAGGTGCTGCGGTTATTGCTTTCTTAAAAAAACAAACCGGGCAGGCACTGTGGAATGTGAGAGGCCTGTGTGAGGCACTTGTCATTTCTCTCCTAAGAGGGTAGAGATGACAGGCTTCTTTTAGATAATCACTGTTAGTAGCTGGGACCCAGGAACTTTTGGCATTCTCCTGTTTAGTCAGTGTGTGGCAAATTTTTTTCCTGACTGGTAAGGGGATTGCAACCCTCGGCACGGTGTCGTCCGCACCATGCTCAGCCAGTGAGCGTACCAGCCATCCCTATATAGGATCGGAACCCGTGGCCTCGGTGCTAATAGCGCTGCACTCTACTGAGTGAGCCACGGGGTCGGCCCATGTGGAAAATTTGAAAGAGCAGAGAGGGAGCTGTTTTTTAAACTATGATGTAGTTAATATGTGATTAACTCTTTGGCCTTTTAAGGACAGAAGAAATTTACTTTAGGAGCTTAGTCTGAACAAGTGATGATACTAGTTGTCAATATTTTGGTCATATTCTATGAGTGTCCCCTCAGTCTAGTGGTAGGGAGTGGTTTGAAGGTGGTGACCACGGTGAAACACTCCTGTAAAAAGGGAATAGTCAAAGGTATAGCATGGCACTATTTAAGAAAGTATTTGGGTAGCAGAAGACAGCACCCTGTTGAGGTATTTTTAAAATGAGATGTTAACTTTTCAGAGTTTTGTTGTTGTTGCTGTTGTTTTTTAACCATGACTCTTGCAAACGTGTCACAGGCAACCTTAAACACACTTGCACGAGAGAATGGGATTTCCTCCTTTGTCTGAGACTGATCAGAATTTCTCTGTGAGCTGGGAATGGGGCAACTTCCTGAGGGTGGATGCCTACACGCTATCTGGATTTGTTCAGCCAGGAAGAATGGGGCGGGGGGGGCCGTGGACGACAGTCAGCGTGGCTACAGCAGGCCTCCGACTCTGCAGTCAGGCACTTGCTGGCTGACTCATCCTTGAATCTATCTCCCAGCCTGGGGGGTTCTTTCTCATGGCAAATGGGTCTTGGTCTGCCTATTCACCCAGCTTTCAGCCGAATGGCCACTGTCTTTGCCCTTGCCTTAACCAACGTGACGCACTCTCCATGGGGTGGAAGGCAGAGCTATATAGCCCAGGTTACATTCTAGCAAATTAGTCTTTAGCAAGAGGTAATTTTCAGTTTCCTAGGGTGCTCTGGAGGGGAGCAGAGGATTAGGCTCAGCCTCTACCTGACACCCAAATTCCTCTCCCACTACACTGTCAGCTTCCTGCCAGGGTTGGCCCCAATGTCAGCTTGCAGCATTGAATTCATCTTCTCCAACCTTGCAAGAAAATATACTCCATGACTCTTGGGCATCTTAGATTGCTGGCTGGAGGTAGAAGGAGACTCTCTTGGGAAGGCTGGCCTCTTCCTTTTGGAGAACCTATCTTTTCTGGAAGGAATTCACATAAGGCCCAAGAACTAGCTAGCATCCCCCAACATGTGTAGTATGAATAAAAGATATTCAAAAGCTATAGGACAGCTTTATATGTTTTTATAATGCAAGCTAAAGAAAGGCTCAAGGATACTGCAAGGCACTAAGAGATGAGGGGGACTACGAGGAACATCCTGGAAGACACAGATCCTGGCCTGGGGGAATGTAGAGTCTTGACAGGGAGACAAAAATAACACTCTAGGAACAATACAGTGTGAGTTGTGTGGAAGCACTAAACAGTGTGATGAACGCCCCTTTCCTTCCCTGCCTGGCAAAATCCTGTCATTAAGACCCAGGTCAAATGTCCCCTTCTCGGTAAAGTCTTCCCTGGATCCTCCTTTATGTGCTTATAGTGTGTGTCCATAGCCCTAGTGGTACTTTTCATACCACATTGCAGAAGACAATGCTGTGCAGGTCTCCAGGAAGGAGAGCACGTCTAATCCTGTACTGGTGACAGCTTCTTGGAGGACCTGCTGGACAACCAACAAGTAAGCTGCTTACTTCTGTCCTCTCGGCTAGATGGTGGGTCCCTGAGATCCGGGACAGTTTTCCCGGGCCTCACAGCAGTGTGGGGCAGGGTGCCCGGCCCGGAAGGCTGAACGCTGGTTGGATCAATGTACAGGGAGGTGTATGCAGAGGAGGCAGGTAGGTGAGAAAGCAAGCAGCCTGAGAAGCGTCAGGGCAGAAGGCAGCCTTGCCTGGGCCTGGAGGACAGGCCAGGCTGCTGCGTTGGGGGGAAGAGGCTTTGTGGAGGCCCCACATCTGCTGAGGACAGATCCAGAGTTTTATCATTGTCCTAGAGCTAGGGGAGGGAGAGGTTGTGGATAAACATAATGGTGTCACTCTGCCTTGGCAGAGGAGGGTTGGCCAGATAAGGGGTGTAGTAGGGAGGCAGAGGGAATGGATGGAAACCAGAAAGGGCCGCCTTGGCTGTCGTTGGTGCCCACGCACAAGGCCTTGATACAGAGCAGAGCCCCTTGATGGTGCCGGGAATTCCTGGGGCCCCTGTGGATTAGGGTGGATTTGCGTTAGATGTCTCTGCAATGAGATCAGCATCCAGAGCCCAGTAACTTCCCTTTGTGAGTTCCAGTTTCTTCTGCACACTGTGCAGTCCCAACAGGGGTCTGACCCTGGTTCCCACCACCACGCTTTCTATTCAGATGACATCTGGTTACAGCTCCCATCAAGGGCAACCCTGATCCCCGGGACCTACAGCGGTGGGGGTGGAGGGAAGCACAGCTGAGAGTTGGGCTCTTGCCCCAGCTGCTGCTGCTACAGCCTGGTTCCCATATGTCTCTGCAATGAGATCAGCATCCAGAGCCCAGTAACTTCCCTTTGTGAGTTCCAGTTTCTTCTGCACACTGTGCAGTCCCAACAGGGGTCTGACCCTGGTTCCCACCACCACGCTTTCTATTCAGATGACATCTGGTTACAGCTCCCATCAAGGGCAACCCTGATCCCCGGGACGTACAGCGGTGGGGGTGGAGGGAAGCACAGCTGAGAGTTGGGCTCTTGCCCCAGCTGCTGCTGCTACAGCCTGGTTCCCATGAGGCCACCGGGGCCGGAAGGAGTGGGGCTGGCAAGTCCCCTCCAATGGCCTGTACCCCTGAGGAGGGGTGTCGTGCACAGGAGAGGGGCAGTCTGGATGATGCCAGTGTGTCGAGGAGCCCAGCAGATGCAGGAGCTGGGTGGGGGTGGCAGGGCCCTGCCTGCTCTATCACAGGAACCAAAGAGCTGGCACGCAGTTGGCAAGGGAGAAAGGGATGCCTTGCACGAGGTCCCAGCTGGTGTGGCCACTGGGAGTCCTACCTTGTCCACTGCCTGCTCAGCAAACACCCAGCTGAGGGGCAAGCAAGGCCCCTCAGCCCAGGCTGGCCCCTCATGGCCATGGGGCAAGGCCTGGCTTATCTCTCCAGCTGCCCTGTTCCCGGCCACTTTATCAGGGAGGGTGAGAAGGTGTCAGAGCCCGCAATTCCCCCTCTCTGCCCGTGAGACAGGGCCCAGGTGCTAGGGGGAGAACAACCCACAGGCACAGCCAGGAGACCTCTGTCCCGGGAGGGTTTAAAAGGCCCCAACCACTGGCTTGGCCTCTGTGTGACCCTGCCAGCCGGCTGCAGCATGCGGCGACTGCTGATTTTGAGTGTGCTGCTGGGGGCTGTCTTTGGCCATGAGGACTTTGTGGGGTAGGGGTGTGGCGAGCAGAGGGGGCTCTGAGGGATCTGGGGAGACGACCCCCAGCCAGTGTCTGAAGAAGACAGACGCATGGGACACAGCCAGAGAGGGTGGCTGAGCCCTGCCCTGGAACCGCAGGCTGATGGGGGCCAGGGCTGGGGAGGGGTCGGGGCTCTCAGGACAGTCTCCTGAGCCCTGGAGAAATCTGAGCTGAGGAGGAATTTTCAGGAGAGGAGGTGGGGGAGGCCTGGCTGGCTTGGGAGAGAGAAATAGTCGAAACAGATGGGGTTGGCAACAGAGTCTGGAAGTTAAAGACGGGGAGAGGAGGGGCGAGGGAGCCATCGCTGAGACCCTCGTGCTTTCCCTGTTCAGCCCGGAGGACCGGGCCCCTGCCTGGGGGTTCCAGGCCTTCCTCCCCCCACCTGGGGAGCGTTTGTGGCCAGGGCAGGTGCTGCCTCAGCCGCTCAGTCCCCACTCCCGCTCTGTCCAGGCACCAGGTGCTGCGAATCTCTGCAGCCGATGAAGCCCAGGTCCAGCTGGTGAAGGAGCTGGAGGACCTGGAGCATCTGCAGGTCAGAGGGGGACCCCAGGGTGCCTCCCAGGCCAGCTGGGCCCACCCCAGGCCCCCCAGCCCCTGCGGCTGATGTGCCTGGGCTCTCAAGGGGACAAGGGACTGATTGATCCCTGTTAGGAAGTGATTTCAACCTCCCAGTGCCAGAATCTTGGGGCCCTTGAGTATTGAGCAAAGCGACAGGACCCCCTCTCCGGTTCTTCCCTCTGCCTCGCCAACTCAAAGCCCCTCCACTCTGCTTCCTGGACCATTTCCCTGACCACAGTGGACTCATCCCATCCCCAGGGGTTCCCCTTCTTTCTCTGCCCCTTACACCATGCACCATCCCCAATTATATGGGAAGTTTGGGAGCCAACACCCGCCCCCCCCCCCCCCCCCCACCCCCCCCCCCCCCCCCCC